CACAAATAACTACAAACAGTAGTTTCGTATACTAACGTGTTTGTGCACGCTTAACATTGGTATTTATTGTGTTGATGAAGTTTTACAGTTGCGAGAAGTCAGTTTGTGTTATACACCTTTGTTAAACTGAATAAATAATAGAAAATATAATATTATTTACATTTTATTAAATGAAATTTAAAAATATAGCTTAGATATCTGCCAAGTTTGTGAATGCTCAGTGTGCATAAGAAAAGAATTAAAGATGACGCAGAATTCATTGAAAAAGTTATAAACAGATTTGGACAGCAAACAAGACGATTACAATTCTTGTTAGATTAAACAATTTTTCAATTGTTATGTATCAATAATTACTTAATTATTTGTTTTTCCATAAAAATATGTTTAATAAAAAAAAATTTATAACATAATTTTTCTGTATCTCTTTAATTGTTTTAAAAAAAAAAGCCAGGGGGGGTGCAAGTGCACCCCGCTGCCGGCACCCTTGAACTCGGGTACATTTATCAAAAGCCATAAATAATCGTTCAAAGAGACGCAGGTTGTCCACCCCTGCTATATAATGAAAGGGATTACAACTTGGTCACCGGTCTATGCTGTATGTTGACTGCAAAAATAAGTCAAATTTGCATAGAGGTTCCTTGTTTCATTATATCTTGTTGCTTATCACTCCTATTAGTTGCAATGCTGCAGGTTAACTGCATGTTTCAAAAGTTGAGAAGCTAATGTTTTTGTTTTAAGATGCAATAAATTATGCCATGAAATATTTGTTTTTTTGCAGATTAGAACCAGGGCTGTTTCTTGTAAACAAATGACAATGATTACCCCTCTTCATTTGCTGTTGTTTGGATCCAAAAAGGTGGAATACGTTAAAGGCTGTGCACAAGTTGATAGGTGGTACGTAGAAATATTTCTTTTTTTATAAGTATGTTAGTGTTATAGTTATAAAAACGGGTCAGGGAATTTTATTTCATATCCAAAAATCAGGAAAAGTTGCAATTTTTTTACAAAAACCTGGAAAATTCCTTCATTATACCTGATAAGAAAAACAGTCTTAAAATTGTCAGTATTAACACTCAGTTATTGAGATTGGAGGTAAACAATTCTAACATTTATAACAATTATTTATTATAAAAAGTTCACATTTTAGACAATATGAAATGCTTCCTTTCTCATGTAATGATATTTATTTTACACAGAAAATCTAATACTTGTCATTACAAATAAAAGAATAAAAATTTTCTCATGAAAAATTCCATAGTAAATATAAAATATGGTATGGATTTTCACTGAAATTTACCTGATATACCTGGAAAAGTCAGAGAATTTTTTTTCTGAAATTGAGTGGGAACCCTGTAAAAATCAGGAACTCATTTGTTAGCATTCTGTTATAGGATTCTAATTTTTTTATTTTCTAACTATACAGGTGACAAGCTATAATTTTTTCTTGTATGGTGATTAAATTCAAAGAAAGCTTTATTTAATAAATGCTAACTGTCAGCACTTATACTGTTAAATATTTAAGTTTTGTTTATTAAACTGTAACTTACCTCAAATTTATACCTTTATTGCTCATAGTTTGGAAACATGAAATGCTTTTATTTTCTAGGATTAATTTAAGAATGCCTGCACATCATGCAGCTGTCATTGTTGCCTTGCAGCCTGCTATTGAAGATCTAATTATGCAAGCAGCTGCAGATCCTGAATCATTAGCTGAGCCACTTCCGGTTATCGCAAAAATAGCAGACATCATCAAAAGATTGTGTGATATGAATGCAGCTAAATTTGGAACTGAAGAAGCTGAGGAAGCCATACAAAACCAAGGGCTTGATAATGGGTAAATAATTTTTTTTGTTCTTTGTCCAATTCCAAAAAAAAAAAAAAAAATCTAAATGTGATGATCATATTATTAAAGTAACTTTTGTCATTTTTTCGAATAAAAAAGCCTTTTTTATATTTCTTTGTGTGTGACCTTTGCCATGCAAACAGCTAACTTTTTTACTATTTAAGGAATTTTATTTTTGTTCTAATTCTTGCATGAGATTTAAGATACATTCTTATTTTTTTTGTATTTATATTTATGAACAAATTATACAAGTCCTAATTTTTCTAACTAAAATGTGAATAGTATGGAAAATTCCACACTTGTATTTCGTTTTAAGTTCATTTTAGTTTAAAAATACATTTGCAGAATTTTAAAGTTATTTCAATTTAAAATATGCTGAAACATTAAAAAAAACAACCTATGATGGTAAGTAATAAAATGCTTTTTATTGTTTTACTGTCTATTATAAAATTTAGTGTATCATATTGTTTTTATCTTTTGTTGTTGTTGTCTCTTTTGCTTTTTATTATAAATTTTATCTACAAAGTTTTATTTTATCTACTAAGAAGAAAAAAAATGCTGATTGTGTGAGTAAAATATTTTATAAGGAGAGAAAATACAGGGTTCTCATGGTACTTGAATTCCGCAATAGGGTCCTTGAAAAGTTTGATTTTTTTCAAAATAGTAATAGTAACATTTCCTACAAAAAAAGAAATTTCAAGCAATTGAAGAAAATTGATTTCTCCCCGTCCTTATGCCATATTCTTTACTGTAAGAATAATTTAAGGTTAAAAATGTATAATTTTTACTATCAGTAGTTTACCTCAATTAAATTTGAAAATAAATTCAGATCTCACTTATTATGTTTACAGGGTATCTGCTACATTTTAGATTTTCAAATTCATGACTTGTCATGATTTTCCATGATTAATTCCAAGAATTTTTCATGACTTAACGAAGCTGCTATTTTCTCCAAGAAAAACGCAACAGTAAATTAGAAAAAGCATTATAATAACATTATTCAAAATAGGTGTAACCAAAACTATTATACTCTTCATCTTCATATTTATAGATTTTAAACTTAAAAAACAGAGTAAGGAAAGAGTTGAAACAATAAAATAGCTGAAAAAAATACGAAAGCAAAAATTTTTTTTTTATAAAGATGCTTTTCTTGTTCATCAGAAAGGAAAGAAATACTCCTGATTTCTCTGTTCATTTCGTAATAAAAAAATTCGCCAATAACTGGTTTGCTTCAACTAGAATTTTAAATTGATAAAATTAAAAAAAAAAAAAAATCTTAAATCACAGAAGAGAGTTTAAAAGATAATTCGCTCTAGAAATGATATTTTTTCTTTAATTTTTTGAAAGAACACCATAATTTTTAAAGAACATGATAAAATCATTTTATATTCAAATAAAATATGACTGAGTGGTGATTTTGTTAGAAATTCAGATATTTGGAACATGGTGAAATTGGGGAGAGGGAGATTCCATTTAAAAAATTAGATTTTTTGGAGATCTAAATCCATGACTTTCCATGATTTTTTTTTAAAAAATTGTAAAAATCATGACAAATTTTGTTCAATACCGAAATTCATGATTTTTCATGACTTTCCAGGTGCCCGGATACCCTGTGTTTAGCACTCTGTTGGGCTTTTGTGTTTTTTCAATTAAATTCTCTACAGCATAACGGTTGTACAAATCTGAAATTGAATTTTACTGATACACAGTACTTCTCGATTGAAGCTTTAATTATTTTGAAAAAGCTGAAGTTCAGGATAGCAAGCGACCTATCCGGCCTTGTGTTTAAAAAAAATTAATTTAAAAAAAAGACAGACTAATGCTGAGGGAAGCTCAATGTATAATGATTTCTAATATTTATTAATTATACATAATTTACTTTTCTCCGTAGACCTCCTAGGAAAATGATGCGTCTCAGCAATACCAGGGGCCACAGTGCAGGAGGACGCTTTACCAGAGGTTCAAGCTATGGTAGCCGTGGAAATTATGGTGGATTTGGAAATCGAGGAGGCTATGGAGGTGGTGGTGGCGGATATGGGAATAATAGAGGTGGTGGATATGGAGGAAATAGAGGTGGAGGTGGGTATGGCGGTGGTTATGGAGGAAACAGAGGTGGAGGTGGATATGGTGGCGGAGGATACCGTGGTAACAGAGGTGGATACGGTAATGGTGGAGGATGGGGAGGTGGAAATAATTGGTGATTAACTTGATTCTAGAGATAAAATTGTAGACTTGGTAAAAGAGTTGTATCATAAGAAAATTTATTTATCTTTTTTCAACATTTGTAGGTGCCTTTTTCTTTTTTGTTACTGTATGAATTGCCTGTTGAAACTTATATAACTCTGTAACTTATTCTCATTGCCTTTGATCCATATTTGCAAAGTCAGCAATATTGTGTATTTTTTATTTTGTATATATTGTTATTAAACTATTTCTACTCAAGCACATTGTACTATGCATAAAAATTGTTTTAATGAAATGAAATCTTTTTCTTTATATTTCTTTTAACAAACATAAATGAAATTAGAAATATATTATAAGGTACAGTTATCGCTAACATTAGAAAATTAGTGAAAACAATTAATCGAATAATGTTTTAAATGTATGGATTCATAGAGATTGAGGCCAGATGCTAGTAAATTGGATTTTTAATTAGGAAATTATTCATTGATTAGTCTTTATAAAGTTTTTTTTTTTCAGGATTCATATTTGTCCTGATTTTTAGCTCTTCCCCCCCCCCTGATATTACTAAATTTAGTATGTCTTCAGATCATCCACTTTCCTGATACAAATGAAAGTTTTTTTTAAAAAAATAGATTTGAAGAATCGAAAAATTTGAATTATGTTCTGACATTAATTTTAATTGATAATATTAATTGAAATCGATAATTCCTATCTACTAATTGTATACATTATTCATCCTTTCAACCTCTTTAAAATGCAGTGTTTCTATGAAAAAGAAACTCAGTAAAACCCTAAATTTTATGTTTTCCTTCGGACTAGCATTAAAAAACTCATGAAGCAGGTGAACGTAAAATCCGGCAAAAAAAATTATGTATTTCAAAAATTTACGTTTACAAGATGAACTGGTAGAAATTCTGTAACTTTTACTTTTTTTTGTTTGATACAATTTTATTAGTATATGATATGCTTATTAATTAACAGTCTTATAGCGGTTTGGGCAATTTTCAAGAACCAGCAGAAAATGCCGTAGGACGCAAAACAGTCATACAGTAGAGAACCATTCATCCGGTATCCAGATAACCGGGAAAAATTTTGATTGGTTTTCCTGCCATTTTAAACTAGAACGATTGTGAAGAAAAAAAGCGGAAATTGAACTCATCCTTGAAGTTGAGTAGATGAAAATGTAAGGAAGGGGAGAATTTTTCCCCGTTTACCCAGAGAAACGTTATTTTCTCCTTTAGGCCGTCAACCAAGCTCAAGGATGTGGCATGCTGATTTCATTTTCTGTTTGATTTACGAGGGGGGTGGGGAAAATGCATTGCATGCATATCAGTGAACAGAATATGAAAGAGAAAAATATATTTATCTATTTGACATCGATTAATAAAAATAAAATCTTTTTCTTCTGAATAAATTCTTTCTTTGGAAGTGCGGTATCATTTTCAAGTTTTTATTGATGTGGAATCACATTTGCTGTAATTAAATATCGTGTTTTTATCAACAAAAAAATAAAAGGAGAATTGTTTATTAATTTAAACATAGGATTATTTTATGACGCAGATTGCAGTTTTTTTTTCTGATTTCACTATGTTTGATTTTTTTTTCTTCTTTTCACGATAAATTTCGCACTCAATAAATTAATTCTTTTTATTCATAAATTTTATCATTAGGTTTTTTTTTAAAATTCCGTTGATCTTGCTTTGTTCCGGTTTTAATATTTATGATAGTGCCTTTTTTAACTATCGTTTCGGTTCGATAATTTTCGAGTGTTTTTATTTAAATTAATAACTTTTCCTTTTATTTTATTGTTTCCCCCGTATAATTAGGTATGAAAGATATTGCGTTATTTAACCATTGGTTTTGTTTATATTAGTAAACTTAGGAATTGTAATTATTTTTAAAAAATAAATACGAGAATTTTGTATTTTTTAAACTTGCAAATTTTTTCATTCTTTTAAATGTTATTTTTCTACCATTTTTTTTTAAAGTTAGGAGTACCTTTCTTTTTTTCTCTTACTTTATGCATTACGCTTTTTCCTTCTAATTTGGGTTCAATAAAACATCGATTAATGACACTTTTTGGTCGATCCAGAAAACCGGAAAATTCAGACATCCGGGATAGCGATGGTCCCGAGCATCCCGGATAATTGGTTCTCTACTGTATGGTAATATCAAGTACATTCACTACTTACAAAAATGTATTAAATATATATGATTGAAAAGACATTGAGAAGTATCAGAAAAATCTACTCTTATTAAACGGATATTTTTCTTTTATAAACAAGTACTTAAAGCTTACAAAAAATTTGATACATCTAACACAAAATGCAAACTACATTCATAAGTTGGTAGTTTGTTAATTATGTATTGCTATATGAGTAACTAAAATAGCTCTAGCTTTTTTTATTCTTAATTACACCTAAAATGACTGTTAACTGTATAATTAAAATAATAAAGGCCATATATAATAACAAAAAGGTGATCGAGATGTCACTAAAGCTTTCAGAAATGAAATAGAAATGCAAGTATGTTTATTAAACTTTATTGATAACATCAAGATTAAACAGAAAATTTAGATTTAAAGGATAAATTTATTTTTCATTTACAAAACTTAATAAATATGAGTGTCTTTTTATTTACAATAAATTAGATATCAAAGGACTAGTTACAAGAAAGCAACATTAATTTATAATAAACCCCTCTTTTTTTCATTCGAAGAAATTACTATATGACGTGTACATTCCTTTTTATCATATACTCAGCAGCCACTTTATTATAACCCATCTCAATATCTTATTTATCCTTTTTTCCCCTTCAATTTGGTTGAGATCTGAATCTCCTTTCCCTGGCCTTAACTAGATGTTAATAGGTTACTTATGGCATGTTCATAATATTTTCCAAAATTGTGAAACAGGATGGTTATGGATCAAGCTATTTAAATTTAATCCTTTCCCTCAAACAGGGTTGCTACAGAAAAAAAAAATGAACAAAATAGTTGCTTTTAGTAGCCTATAGCATGAAAACTATAAAATTAGTATAAACTATAAAAATATTTATAGTATGGCAAGATGCATTAATCCTGTTAAAAGTATTGGGATAAATCATCAGTATTACAAGACATATTGGGCGATGTCTTCCAACTATATACATGATATTAAGTCATAAAGAATGCCAGTACTACTGTATCAGCTCTCTAGTGGCAACGCTGAAAAGAAATAGCTTACTTGCATAAAGCTGTTAGTGCTCAAAGTGGCTGCTCAGTGTATTTATAAAAAATCCTTTTCAAAAGCTAATTTAACTCATAAATTAGAATTACAAAATAATTTGTTTATATGCAAGGTTATATAGCAACAAATTACGAACTAATTTTAAATGATGTTATGCTTCTTTGGTTAAAATACCATTTTTAAATTAAAAATGAACCTCACAAAATTTTTCTCCAGCGCAGTGAGAGAACAACGCACAGACTTTCTGACAGCACAAGAATAGACACCTTACCTTATTCCTTAGACTGAAATGTGTTTTTCTGTTTTACATAGCCTGGAGACTAGTTGTGGTGGCTCAGGGGATAAGGCGCTTGCCTCCCAATGAGGTGAACCGGGCTCGAATCTCAGTGATTACCAGGCTCGCACCCACCACAGTGCTGACATAAAATATCCTCGGGGGTAGACAGATCATGGGTTAGAGTTCCCTTGCCATCAGGCGAACTGTGGGAGGCTTTCAATGTTCCCCTTTCAATGCAATGCAAATATGGATTAGTTCCATCAAAAAGTCCGTCAAGAAGACAAATTTCTCCCAATACTTGATCCAGGTGTTGCCTAATCTTCTAGATTGGACTCAAGGCTACGGAGGTGAATACTAGTAGTTGTAAATTCAAAAATTGGGTCAGCACTTCAGCAACAGTTATTAAAGAAAAATTTGGATGCAAAGTTTTTAGTTAAATCTCATAAAGCTTTGCTGCGTAAAAAAATGCACAAAGAAGAAAATATTCTGTCGTGCTTTTTGTTAAAAATCAATCTCAAAGGTTATTGCTTTGAAGATTTGTAAATATGTATATTACATATGAGTAATGTTTATATGAAAGTTAGTTTATAATTAGACATTTAGTTAACATTTTAATTGGACATTAAAATGACATACCTATATGCATCCAAGATATTTTTTGTCACATTGAATTGATAACTAATATAATAATTAGGGTAATTTTTTGAGGCAAATATTGCCTGACATTTAAAAATAATTTTAGACAAATAAATTTCGGTGAAATTTTTATATTACTTTTCTTTTCTGGCTATAGTAAAGATGAACAATCTATATTTGAATATAAGAGAATATTTCAAAGATGTTAAATAATAGCTTAATTGTAATTAATTATTCAGATATTCAAGCAATATTAAAAATGACTAAACCATTGTTGATGCAATTATATCATTTCTGGCAATCATCTTTAAACATACTATGCTCTCTAGGATATTGCAGTATTTTCCTACCACTTGCTAAGATGTCAATCCTTTATTTCCAGATAAATCTTACACTATCCTGTCAATTCTTTCACTAAACTCTATAGAATATATACATATAGAACACACACTAGTAATTTCTTATTTTTAAAATGGAATTTAGGGCTTGGGTGTTGACTGTGTTGTCAAACAAAGAATTTAACATTATGATTGTCATTAAAGAATCTTTATAAAGAGACTGTGTGGAACATATAGGGCAAAATTAAAACATTTTACTTCTGGCCAGTTATAGTTATTTAACCGTAGCCATTTTTTAAAAACACGTGGGCACTTTTTCAAAAGTTAAATATTTTAAACAATTGAAAAACTGTTAACATAAATAAAAAAGGAATTTCTTTCGAAACATTTATCAAAATATGGTAAACATTGCATGGTTCATTTCTAACATGAAGAATTTTTAAAAAAAAAAAACACATGGAATAAAGCAATTTTCAGAATATTATAAAATATTTTACTGAAATACACATGTAGCGCATTTATAAAGAAGGAAAAAAAAAACAAGCAATTTTTTAATCATTATTTCTCATATTTAGTGACCAGTGGCGACCGTAATTGCTGTCCCATATTGGAACAACCTGTTCTTTCTGGCCACTAAGATTGATCCAAATATTTACACAGAAACAACAGGGTTAACAGGTTCCGCTCATAACACACTGTTCATTAATACTAAAGATTATTGACTCTTTATGGTTGTTTTTTACCTAACCTAGCAAGGGAATTCTCAATTTCAAAAAGGGTACAAATTTGAATGACTTTTTTGGCAGAAGAATATTTGTTGTCAGAAAAATGTTTTTATTAACCTGTTTTAGGTGATCTCTAACTTTTATACCATTTGATTAGTAGCACCATGTACTTACAAATTTCATAAATGATGGATTGCTTGAAAGAGCAGGAGATAACAAGAAGTGGGACAACACGCATAGCTTGAAAATTATAATTTTTTGTGTGAATTTTTCATTAATATAAGTACACAACTAATCATAGTTATGCTGTCAAATAACATTGTTAATGTTTAAAATATTAAATATGATCTATAAGGTGTGTTTCATTTCCTAACAACTAGTATGTGTTGGCTACAATAAAGTGACATATGACAAAGGTGGGCATGATGAAATGTGACAAAGGGGAGGAGGTGCCAAAAATATTAAAAAATAGATCATCATTTATCATCAGTCCCTAATTAGGGAGAATTTCTTCTCAGACAAGCCCACCGCTGAAAAATATGATATTGAAAGGAGAAAAAAATCAAACAATTTTATCAATCTCTTCAGTGCAAAGTCATGGTGGCTCAGGGGATAGAGTGCTGACCTCCCAATGAGGTGACCCACATTCAAATCACAGCAATGGCTGATCAATACGAATTCCACATCCAGCTCACACCAACAGCAGTGGTGATGCAAAAAATATCCTCATTAAATCATGGGTTAGACTTACGTTGCCCTTGGGCAAACCATAGGTTTTAGGGGTTTTCCTCTCTATATAGTGCAAATGCAGGTTAGTTCTACAAATAAAGTCCTCCGCAATGGCAAACTCAAGGTAGGTAGTTGTAAACTCAAAATTGTGTCATCTATTCATTTATGGTTATAAAAATCTCTTCAGGATCAGTTCTGACGTAAAAATATCTTCAGTTGTAGACAAATCATGGGTTAGAAACCCCTTGCCGCCAGGCAACTGTAATACGTTCTTATAGTTTTCCTCTCCATGATTAATATATGGAGAGGTAATAATAATAATATGGAAACAAATACTAGTTAGTTCTATCGAAAAGTCCTCCACGAAGGCTAGTCTGTCCCAAATGCTTGATCTAGGGTTCAAAATTACAAGGCAACAGAGTTGAATATTGATAGCCATAAACTCAGATTTGGATCAGCTGTCTATCAACACCGTTTATAAAATAAAATCTTCTCAGTGTGACATAGCACACAGAAATTTCATAAAAATTTTCTTAAAAAAGGATCCTTCTGTCATACTCCATAGAATATTGCTCAGCTAGGTTTACAAAATAATTTTTCTAGGCGTCACTTTTACCTCTTTTGTCAGCAAATATGTTACCTGATGTATAAAAATTAAATTATTTCTGGAGTTTTGTGTTTATTACAGAGTACCATCTTAAAAATTGCATACTATTCACTTCTATATTACCATTTAAACATAGCAACAAAAAAGCTGATAAAATACACCATATGTGCAAAAAAGCTATCTCTTGAACTTCGCAGTAAAATTACAGGCAAGCAAATTTAATTTGCGAAAATTATCATATTTCGCAAAAAAGTGTAGAAATTTTTTTTAATTCTATATCTTTTTTTTTTGTTCTTTATGAATATTAATCACAAGAATGATAATTAGTAAAATAGATTTTTTTGCTTTTTAAATTCGCATATTTTAAAATGGAGGGATTTAATGAGTAAAAAAAAAAACTCAAAATTTGGCATGCACAACTTAATATAGTAAATTATTTAAGTCTCATGCTCCTTATATTGATGGTAACTTAACTAATGCAATAAGGTACTTTAAAAAATGACTAAGTAACTTATGTTTGATAAAAAAAAAAACTGTTAAGTTAATAATTTTAGATTTAAGTTTAGAAAATCAATTCAGTTTTAAAAAAATCACGAGAAAATTTTACGTTTTTAATTTTCAAGTTAAAGGTCTATACATAAATTACAAAAGCATATTTTTGTGGGCTTTAGATTTTGCCTTCACTTGCCATAAAAGATATTTCAAAGCTCTCAAGCGTGCATAATATTGCTTTCAGCTCAACAATTTAGACTTCATTGACTTTTGGCATGCTCGAGGGCAAGACTTGAATTATCAACTTTTGACTTAAATAATATCAAGTTTTTAAATATTTTGCACCATTTGAGAATTAATTAGTTTTAAAAATTTTCTACACATTTGAAAATTTTAAACAGAAACTTTAAAACTTTAGAATTACATTCCTTGAGTGCTAAATTTTGTGTCCTTTTGTTCAGTTTTCAATAGCATTTTATAAAATACATAAACCTTGCTAAGTTATTTTGATAACTATCATTTTGTAAAAAATTTAATTGTGAATTTTTAAAACAATCAAAATGTCTAATTCCTCTGAAGAATTTTTATTTTATTTATTTAGAAACAATCAATGTGTGAGAGTAAAATTTAAGATGGTAAAATCATATGGGATCATAAAAAAAAAAACAATTTTTAAGTGACAATGATGAACAATGACAAATCATGCGGTAAAAATGACATAATATGCAATTTTAAGGGCAGTTCTGGTAAAAATAAAAAATGACATATTCATAGAACCATGATTTATGTCAGTGTTAAAACTAAAAAGTGAATATTTTCTTTATGATCCCATAGAAACCTACTTCATCTTGAAATTTGGCACAAAAATAGCTGAAAAAAGAATTTAATAAAAAAAAAATATTTTTTCTAAAATTAAGTAGATGCGTGGCATATCCTTGAAATGCCATTAAAAACTGAATAAAATGGTTTAAAATTTAATTTTCAAAAAAAATTTGGTAATTTTTTGTCCATTCTGTTAATATTAGCCAAAAATTAATAAAATACAAAGACCTGAAATTTAATTAATTGAAAACTCATATAAAGGCAAACTACAATTGTATACAAAATGGCATTTTTAATAATCAGGGTAATTGGTTCGAAGAATATGGAAATACATCATCATATTTTTATCAATAAACTTAAGTTATTCTTTGTCTAATATCTTTTATAACTTTTTTTTTAATTTAATGCTTTAGGATTTTAAAATATTTTTTTATATAATTTTTAATTAATAAAAATAAAATGAAAATACATCACTGAACCAAAGATCTAGGTTTTTGACAGTAAAAACCATCGTGAGTCAAACGAAAATGCACGCACTGTGCATTTATATATATGTGTGTCTATATAAATATATATATATATCGGGTCTGTCTAGGTTTTTCTCAGAGGTACCTATTTTGCGAAAATTTAGACATAATTTGTGAAAATTATATTAAAAAAATATGGGTTTATCGTTTCTTAAGGAATACAGGAATAAAATTTTAAGAAAAAGTTTTTTGTGAAACTACCGTTTTTCTTAATGGTTGAATTCGTGAAGGTATTACTAAACGGTAGTAAATTTTGGCCCAGACAGACCCCTATGGAATTATGAATATTTTATAATATTCTGAAGATCACTTTATTTCATGCTTATTTCTTAAATGTTTTTATTTTCAAAATAAGCCTTGTAATATTTATTGTATTTTGAGAAATGCTTCACTATATTATTAACAATTTTTTTTAATAACTCAAAATTTAAATTTTTTTTTTAAAAAATGACCACGCTTTAAATTTTTATAACTGTCCATTGGACAATAGCTGAATTTCCTAATTTTACCCTAGCTCTCTTTCCACTTATCAGACGAAATAAGTGAACTATATTTTATTGGCCTTGAATGTTTTTTTTTTTTTTTTGCAAATTAAAATAAATTAAACAATCAAACGCATAAAAAATTAAAGAACACTGATGTATTTTCATTACATGTTAATGAATTTCAAGAAAGAACAGATAAGTATTAGAACAGTAGAACAATCTTTGGCATAACACAAATTTTACTAGTTTTAGCACTCATGAAAACCTACGAGAACTAACTTCTGCAAGACATTCTTCAGCATCGGACTGAGCATCAGAATGCTCGGATTTCTTAGCCAGCCTCAAAGCCATTTTGCAAGCAGTCTCCCCTCTTTCCACATCACCAATTTGCAAATAGGTGGCACCCAAATTGCAATAAAAAGCTGGCACGTCGTTAGAGTCACTACCCACAGATCTTTTAATAACCATCTCAAAAGTTTCAATGGCAGAGCTGTACTCTTTAAGTAAGCTTTGTACACTTCCAATATCGTTCATCAGTACTAGCGTCTGTGGATGTGAAGGGCCATTAAGTTTTTCAGAAATGTAAAAGGCTTTTTGAAAGTTCTCTTTGGCCTCTTTTAGCATCCCTACTGACAATAAATGTTTTGCATACCAATCCATACTCATTGCCCACAGTAGTATTGTGTCTTTATCATGTTCAGATAGTCCATCAACATCCTGTAGATCTATGGTATCAACTTTTTTCAATTGGGTGCTAATGCAAAACTTGAAACCACTCTCAGCTTTTTCTCTTTCACTTCTTTGGCTATAGATGGATGCAAGTTTCAGAGAAATTTCGACAACAGAATTATCGTCATAGGACGTACCCGTGGCAAGAAGTTCTTTAGTAAGTTCAATAAATAATTTTTCAGCTTTTCCCAAGTCGCCTTTCTCAAAAGCCACATTTGCAAGTAGATCAAATATGTATCGTTGAGCTTGCAAATCTTGCCGTTCTTGTGCTAATTTCAAAGCAAGATGCAAAACAGTTTCAGCTTTATTGTATTCTTTCCTTTGAAGATTCAAAACTCCGAGTTTAATCACAGAAATCATGTGATCCTCCTCTTCTTTTTTTAAGCCAAGCCACGTTAAAAACCCAGCAAACATAGCATAACCACGGTTTGTCCTAGGGGGAAAGAAACATGATTTAAATAAAGAAGAAATTGAAAGATAAACTATAGTGGGGATTAGAGGAAAACTTCTCCAGACTAAATTTCTGGGGTTGTCTGCTGCTATGGTAACAAGCGAGAGCACATTTCTAATGGGGGTGCAAAGGAGGAATGAAGGTGTCGATTGGTTTACTCACGCTGACCTATGCAAAACTATTCCCCCCACAGTCCTATTCGAAGAGACTTTTTATCACCGTGGTACCTGCCGTGGCGCGAGACTGCTGTCTAGAGGAGTTCTCCTGAAAGCTGTACTATACAGGATGGCTCCAAAAAAAAGGATAGAGTATACTTTGTGCTATGTAGACTAAAGCAAAAAACAATGTGAATAAAGTACAGAAATGGACAAATAAAGTAGAGAATGACAAATAGTATAAACGAATTGCTTAAATCATTATCTTCATTTTGAAAAATTCTAACAAATTTAGTTAATGACATTTTTAGAATCCCATTCTTTCCCAAATATAGGAAATCAATTCTAATTAAATAGTTTGCACTCTGTGGTATCTACCTAAACTCCCTCACACCTCTTTCTCATCTACTTTATTTTATTCACTTGTTTCTCTGTCCTTACTGGATAAGCCACTTTGCATATGTTTATCTCTTTACTTTTCCTCTGTCATTTGGTGTTTAGACACAAAGGAAGGTTCTCGTTTATTAGAACCAAATTAATAGTATGTCAATTTTGGTACTTTATTTAAGCTTTTTGTCTTAGTGTGTAACAGTTGTCAAATAAAAGTAGCAGCCAAAAATTGCATCAACGATTAAGGTAGATAACATTTTAAATACAAGATGGTTTTGAAATAATAAAGATAGAGATTGAATCTTGTTGCAAGAAAACTTCTGCAACAAATTAGGTTAAAAGGGGACAAGATTTACCCGGAAAGGTCAAAGAGGGCATCTACAATATTGAATACAACAATCACACATAGGATTATTGCTTTTAAAAAGTTACGAGTAAAAGTACAAAAACAATACTTTGAAGTACATTTCGTAGAAATATAAAATTCTAAGTAACCTAAAATTTCTACAGAAAAATGTAAGAAAAAATATTTTTTTTAATGAAATAAATAGAGTTGTTCCTAGAAATAAAAGAGGGCAGCACCCTGCCTCTCAGAAAAGGGTACTTTGAGTTTTGTAATGGCACTCACTTACCACCGTAAAAATTTATCAAAATGTGTAATAATATTATATAACTGTATTCGATCCTCAAAAGCTTTTAAATTACCCTCTTATATTTAATGAGCATGTTTTTAAAAATAATTTTCTCTCATTATATAAATAAGAGAAAAATTTATAGTTTATAAAAATTATTAAAGAGGCGCTCAAAGACAAACTCTGTGGATGAATTTTTTTCAATTATGAAAAAATGAATACATAAAGGTGCATTATTATTTAAAGGTGCATTATTTATAAAAAAAAGGTAGCAATTTAAATAATTATTTCAAAACTTAAAATCGTTAAAAATTTACTAATAATAAAAAGAGATACTCCCGATAAAAGAGATACTTATAAAAATTTAATGAGTTGGGAATAATCTGAACAAAGTAAATAGTATAATCAGAATTAAACCTAAAAACACAGACAATTTTACCAATGAGTACTCATTATTTAAACAAGGAATGCATTTATTTCAAAATGGAATATGAATAAAATGGCAGTGTTTGCTTATTATTTAAACAAGGAATGCATTTATTTCAAAATGGAATATGAATAAAATGGCAGTGTTTGCTTATTTTTGGATGGATGGTGGCTTATTTTTACAAAAAAGGGTACATTTATAGGGATCAAAGGCCAAGGAGGGATGATTGTCCTTCTAATAATCTTCAGGGAAAAGGCTGTAATGTATAAAATTTAAGAGACAATAACTCAAATTAGATGTATAAAATTCAAAAGACAGGAAAACAACAAAAATAATTGAAATAGTGAACATTGAAAATATACAGAAACCAAAAGAGAAATCAAAATTCGATGTTTACATATAAAAAGGAGTTTTAAATTATGTAATTTTAAAACTATCAAATTTTTAGAAATTTTTTTTTTACTTTCAGAATAATAATTTGTTTAACAAACTTGATAACATTTTAAATTTTGTTTAAAGAAATAAAAAATTGCATTCATATATAGCCCTTGAAATGCATTAAATTCAAAATTATATATTTTTTTTATAGAATTAAAAAAAAAATTTACTTAATATAATTTAACAAATGGTGATTGTTTAATTTGTTGCTAAAAAAGCACCTTTATCTGTTCATTTTCTCATAATTTTTAGCTTAAATTATAGAAAAAAGCTTTCAAGTTGTTTATTAATTGATCATTTATTTTAGCTTAGATTTTTTTTCTTGAAAAAACTTATGCACAGTGTTTGTCTTTAATTATTTTAATAAACTACAAATTCTTTTCTTATTTTTATAATGGGAGAAAATAATTTTTAGAAACATACACATAAAATAGTAAAAGAGGGTAATTTAAAAGTTGTTGAGGATCGTATTCCGATACATATTATTACACATTTTACTATTTTTTTTTTTTTTTACTAATCGAAGCTTGAAAACAAAAGTTTCATTTTTAAATACATTCATATCATAAATTCAATGATTAGATCAAAATGGGGAGATTTCCGAATCGTGATCTGAGGTAAAATAATAGTGAAGTCTTGGAAACTTCAAGGCAGTGGCGGACGAGAAACTGAAGAAAAAGAAACATCACAGAAAGGGACCAACGCAAGGGGTATAATTCGTAGCCACCCCTGGCAAACATCTGCATGTCTTTTTTTTTTTAATTTGCAAGTTCAAAATCTTTTTGGCACCTTGACGATTGTAGTTGGTGCAATAGATCACGATACTCAAATATCCCCAGTAAAGTTTGGAAAAGAAGAAAAAATAATTTTTATTTAAAATCAGAGAAATGATGAAAGTCAATACATTTTTTAATACTAACTATATTTTAATAAATGAAGCATAATTTTTAAATTCTAAAACTTAAATGCCAACAAATAATTTAATTTTTGTACAAAAAATGAGTGGTTTAGAGACATTAAATAAATTATTGAAATTAATTTAGAAATACACATAGTGGACAAAAATATTGCTTGTCGAAAATTAAATGAATGGATTCTTTTCATTAATGGATTCACTTTCACTGGTGATAGCAAGCATTATAACGTAAATATATTAAAGTTTCACTACTAAAAATAACTCTTATAACTTAGTCAAAGTCAACAAAAGGAAGATACATATGTTTTATTAACTTGCCCTTATGATTTGCAATACAATAATGAATTTAAAAAAATGTTAAATTGCACGCTGTTGATATCGAACAGCATAGAATCTTACTTAAAATGATTTTTCCCGGATTCTGCAACTCTTATACTGAATACAGATGAATTTCTCGTTAAAAGATTAAAATATGAAGATTCACAGTGCACACATTTACAGTTCATTCGGTATTTCATAAAACGAGAGACTAAAGCTCTCCATACACTGAATCTTAAATGATACATTTTAATTTTGATTACATTTTTTGATTCATTTACAATAAAAATTTAAAAAAAATATAAAGTTAAATTTAAAACGATTACATAATTTAATACATCGATGTCACTATAAGCATTGACCTATGTTTATCTTCCTAGATTTATTTAGTTTCGTTTTTAACGGTGCAGTTACAGTCAATTGTCCCTGGCTGTTTCAAGGAATGGTTTACACTGCAAATGATTCATGCAAATCCTATCCCGATAAAGAGAAGAGGCTGATTGTTGAGTTTCGCACTTCGCCAATCAGAGATCTAGTACGTCTTCAATAAAGTACTGTACCTACCAGCTTTTAAAATTGCACAACTACAACGGCGGGAATGCTAGAAAATATTGGTTCTAATACTGAATACCGCTGCTTTTCGTTTGTAAAAGCTGTCTGTCAATGGGATGTTGTTCTTAAGAATCTTATTGAGACACAATTTTTTCAACTCCCTGTTCATTGAAATCAGCGTTTGCAGAAAATAAGCAACCGGAAACGGTAATAACCCCCTGAAAAACTCTATAATCATTGAATCAACAATCATTTTCATGAAAAATATATTCATTTTGCGAGGCAGAAAATAAAAATACTTAAATATCTTCCTCCTAAAAACATCATTTAGTCATGCTACACACATATTGTAAATTGATTTGAAACAATACTAGCATATTCGTTCTGTAAAAGTAGGCATAAAGTATATTACACAAATAAGTGAAATTTTATAAATCTACATATTTTTTGTAATATAAAAGAGAAACCTTATTCATTCAGTGTATTGAAGAATAAACTTTATTGTATGAAAAATACTTCAAATTAATTCCTTCATGTTCACAGAAGAGAAAAGTCTTGTTCATGTATTAATTATGTTAAAACATACCTGCAGAGTGTTTTAATCGTGCATACAAATCTTATTTTAACTTGTTCTAATTAGATAAAAGTCCTATTTGTGCAGCATGTGTGATGAAACTTTCTCTCAGGAAGGCCACTTAAATGAACTTTCTCTTATAGGAATGAAACCATATTCATGTAATCTATGTGATAAAACATATAAAAGTAAAACAAATTTGATTCGACACTCTCTTGTTCATACTGGAGATCCCCAACCTTACTCATGCAGTGTGTGTAATAAAGCATTCTCACAGAAAGGATATTTAAATCAACACTATCTTATTCATGCTGGAGAGAAACCTTATTCATGCAGTGTGTGTAATAAAACATTCTCACAGAAACAACATTTAAATCAACACTATCTAATTCACACTGGAGAGAAACCTTATTCATGCAGTATGTGTGATAAAGCATTCGCACAGAAAGGACAATTAAATCGACACTATCTAGTTCACACTGGAGAGAAACCTTATTCATGCAGTATGTGTGATAAAACATTCACACAGAAAAGAGACTTAGTTCAGCACTATCTTATTCATACTGGAGAGAAACCTTATTCATGCAGTGTGTGTAATAAAGGATTCTCGTTAAAAAGATATTTAAAAGATCATTCTCTTATACATTCTGAAGAGAGACTTTATTCTTGCAGTGTGTGTGATAAAACATTCAAACAGATAGGGTGTTTAAAGCGTCACAATCATATTCATACTGGAGAGAAACCTTATTCATGCAGTGTGTGTAATAAAAGATTCTCGTTAAAAAGATATTTAAATGAACATTCTCTTATACATTCTGAAGAGAAACTTAATTCTTGCTGTATGTGTGATAAAACATTCACACAGAAAGGACATTTAAAGCGACACTATCTAGTTCACACTGGAGAGAAACCTTATTCATGCAGTATGTGTGATAAAACATTCACACAGAAAAGAGACTTAGTTCGACACTCTCTTATTCATTCTGGGGAGGATAATTTCTTATGCATTTTGTGATATATCTTTTTTACAAAAATCCAAGGACTGTGGAATTAATTGGGGCAGAGAGGGCTTTAGTCATCTCACGTTTTATAAATGAAAGTACACAGTCCCTTCTAAGATTGCAATTTTTCGCTCAATATTTGTGTCATTAAATTTACAAATAATAAATAATTATTTTTGTGTCTGAATTCTAATTTTTTCTCTCTCTATTTCAAGCTTGCATTAACATTTTTGACTTAAAATTACTAATAAAATTATTGCCCTATCATCCCTTACTCATTCTCCCGCAGAGGAATATATATGTCCCTTTTGCTGACCAGTGGGGGAAAATTCATGGGCTCATGTGTCACAGTGCAGCAGAATAAAAAATAGGTATCAGTGTAACATTTTCTTGGTGAAAACTACTACCAAATCATCTCTTAACTATTCTCCTGCAGAGGAAATTAGGTTACTTAACCTAATCTATATTGCTAAACTCTATATAATTTCATTATTAGAGAGGTGCATTCGATTTATAATATGTTTCAAATAAAAAAGCAAGTGTAGAAATTAATACGTAAACTTGTACAGTACAGAACCCATTATCCGGAAATAAAAAAACCGGAACGAAATTCAATAAATTTTCTCGCCATTTAAAAAAAGGAAAAAAAAATTTTCCTTGTAAGATTTTAGGATTTTTCTTTCTTTTTTTAAAGATGTTTACCTTACCATCATTTTGGAAATAATCATTAGTGTATTACTTCATCCTTTTTTCTTCTTTTTAAGATTATTTCCAAATGTTTTTTTTTTAGTTGTGTTTAACAGTAAAAAAACGGCTTTTTGTAGTGATTCAGAAAACCGGAAAAATCAGTTATCCGGAATAGCGATCGTTCCGGATAATCGGTTCCCTACATTATTAATTTAAAAGTGTTTGTTGTTGTCATGTCTATGCATGCAGTGCTAGTGCAAAGATTAGAGTCCTCCAAAAGTTCTGATAACAAAATTTGCAAGTTCTGGAGCCTGATGGCCGTGGAGAATTTCGATGGGGAAGGGGGGTCTCCAAGTTGAAAGAGGGGGCCGATAATGGCCTGGAAGTTAAAAACATGGTCTGGAGTTAGTTGCAAATGAGGACAGTACTTGCAGATGGGATAGGATTTTATTTTGGTGCGTGAGATCTTCACGCCTTTGAAATGTCTTGTACGTAGCCTAGCTATTGTAGAGGAGAGGTTTCTTGGGCAGTTTAAATAGGGGATTGTTGCCTAGAAAGCTGGTTTTATTATTTATATCAAACAAGTATTTTTACTAATATTATAATTTTGGCAAAATATTACATCTAAGAAATATGTAATCAAACCGAGTTATAGATTTTTTTCCCATTTAGTTGTCATTTATTTCTTATAAAAAATATTTTATGTAAGTCATAAAAGGTTTAAAATTAAAATTTGATTGTAACTACTGTTTCTTTTGTGAAATTGTGAGGGAACTTATTATTATTTTATTTTTTAACATTATTTAGGGAGACATGAGACTTTAATCCTTTTTGAATAAATGACATAATTTACTTTATATTCTTCAATAATATCACTCTGAACTAAAGTTGTAGTTTTTTTGAATTTGCTCTCACATTACCTCTGCCTTGCGTTTTTTTTAAATTTACTTTTATTCCCACCATAGCAGGTATTTAAACTAAATTGTACAACATTTGCCATATTAGGAGGATAAAAAAAATTGCTGAGAGATCTAGGATTTTGCCAAAATGATATTTTTTTCTGGTTCTCTATTATAGGTACTATGCAGTTGTAGATGAACCATGCCAGTCATATAAAAACTAGCATCAGAGTTAGAAGAATCCTTATAAATTTGATTATACCCCTACATTCATCACATCTGCAGTTAGAAATTGAGCTTTGTAATTTGTCTGAAAGGGTATTAGTAGAAACTTAATTGAATTTTCAAACTGTGTAGATTCATGTCAAATCTAATAATGCTTGCAGATTAATTTCAGCTTTTCTTTCAGCTACTCAGATAGAGTCTTTCGGATTTTAACAACCAGATTTCGGCTCTCACACTTTATAAAAGAGGCGATTCATATGTATTCCACGTTCTGCATCCCTATTTCGAATATCTTGATATGAACTTTACTTCAAACCTATTTGAATCATTAAAGATAATGTTTCCTTCAGCGTATTAATCTTATACAGCTTTCTTTTTAGAATTTGTGGCACTCACTTCTATTTCTTTGATATTTTTTTATTTTATTTCTGATTTACTTCCAGAATGTCTTTTACTTCCTTACAATGTTAATTATGGATCTGCTACTTTGCTCAATTGTTAAAGTGAGTGACATGTTTCGTCGGATTCGATGTTACGTTTAAAAAGGTTTCTATAAAGCAAATTAGAAAAAGTTTAATTTACATATTCAGACAAATAATATGTAATTAATAAATCAAATATGAATTAACAGTTTGATCTAATGTCTAAAATATCTCCTCTGTGTCAAGCCAATCTTTATTTTGTCATAAAAAAAAAATTGTACTTGAGAAATTTTTCTGTCTGTTTAGACTACTAATTAAGTACTTAGAGTACTAATTAAGACTTTAGTTTGCTATTTAAAGTTTCAGTGTTATACATTGTTTCGATGGAATTGTCGGCATTTTCATATCGTTGATTCCAATTGAAATCATTCCATTCCATTAGAAAGTCAATTTTCGATATTTTCTTTACCCTATTGCAGAACAGCGAATTTTAGTCAGGTTAACCTGATCGTGTAAAGCTAAGGGTGGCGGTGGATCTTCCGATATATTTTTACGCCGTAGATTGAAAAAACGCGCCATCATATCATTGCATCATATCTTTTGCAGCATTTCACATGTACCGAGTTTTTTCTTTCAGCCTTTAAACTTCAGCATTATCATATTAATATTATAATCATTAGAATATTTTCTAATTAGGCTATAACTTGAAAAGATATTTTTGGCGACATTTTATTCAAATAAGCTTATAGGGGGTCCTAATATAAATAAACCCTATAGGGGGTCGTGACCTCTTTCACAGAGTTCACAGCATTGTTTTTGATAGGAGATGAATTCTCCTTTCATTTTGACAATTACGTTGTCTAGAATGAAATATCTATTTATTTTAATCTTTGATCTTTCTTCAAGAAGTTAATTATGTAGTATTTGCATTAAATTTTTATTGTATTTATTATAAGTGAATCGATTGACTTATATAACTATATTTACTAACAGTTTGCGAAAAAAAGAAACATTCTTAAAATAAAAAATAACAGATTACAAATCAAATACATCTTTATTTATAACTTTTCTAAAAATCATACGTAGAATGTTTTTTTAAATAAGTGTAATTGATTCATTCAGAAATTTATCATTTTTCACTTTATTATTTTCAGAGATTATGAAACTTTAGAAATTATAAATATATTATCGAGAGCTTTTTGATTTAACGAACTAATAGTTAATAAGGGTAATTTAAATTTTCAAAATTTTATAACTTTCTATTTATAAACATTTTATTATATTTATTATTATTTTCTATTATTTATAATTATTTTATTTTGTATTTGCGATTGATGAAATGCGTAGCTTTATACCACTAAAATCTTTTAGTTTTGAAAGTACAATAAGTATCAAAATAACGTGCAATGCATAAGCTTTAATAAATAAGTAGAATGCATGAAATAAACTTTAAACTAGGATTTTTTAAATAATTGTTAGTTTAAATAACCTAGGAAAAAAATTGCATAATAATTTTTTAAAAAAAAACTGCCTTTTGAATTTTTCTCTCTCTCTCTCGTTTGTAATAACTTTTCTTTTTTTTTTTCGCAATTTCAAACCTATACATTTAAATAAACAAAATTAATCGTTAGTTTTTCAAAAAAAACATTTTTTTCTTCTCTTTTATAATATTTTTTATAATAAATTACAATTTGCAAACACAAACAATGTAATATTTTTTTTATTTTTTTTTATAATAAATTACAATTCGCAAACACAAACAATGTAATAATTTAAACGCTAGATTTCATTTTTTGCCTTATCATTTACCATTGTGTATGTAAATAAATTATGAAAAAGNTAATATTCTTTTATAATATTTATACAATTCGCAAACACAAACAATGTAATAATTTTTTTTCTTCAAATTTAATAATTTATCTCATTTAAGAAAATGGTATTTTCAATCGCTGTGTTATATTGAACTAGATTTGAAAAAAAAAATTCTCTACAATTAAATTTTGCTTTTTATTGCCCTCTTACATTAAACCCAACTCTGAAGACAAGGATGCCAGAACTCGTACTTTATTTAAGAATTTCATGTTAGAGTTTTTAGTTTCATAATTTCACTGTTGTCGTTCTAGCCATAAGTGTGATCCGTAATTTTTCTTTTCTTTTTTTCTTCTTTTTTTTTTTTATATGTTACAAATTTATGTTGGAAATCTAACTCGATACAAATATTTTTACTACTTTCAATGGATCAAAATTTCAATTTCATACTATCCTCAATTGTTTTTCTATTTGACGCTAGATTTCATTTTTTGCCTTATCATTTACCATTGTGTATGTAAATAAATTACGAAAAAGTCATTTGGAAAAATATTTTTTTTAAGTGCCACATAAATTTGTAAAGAATTTTTGAAATAGAATTAATTGCATCAATCAGGATAACATAAATTTTTATTAGAATATAACCAAAAAACACTAGTACAATAATAACCTATGAATAAAGCAGAATATATTAGTTAATATTTAAAAATTAATAATACTTAGCTAATATTTAAAAAAAAAAATCTTAAAACAGAGAGAAAAAAAAATGCTTGATTTTTTTTTTCCTCCCTAAAATTTGTAATATTAACAATAAGAATTTGGTAAAGTTCAAATGTCAAACAACAGTTTAAGAAATAACTAAAAAGTTTTCTTTAATCAAGTATTTTTTTTAATACAATTTCTAGCAAAAGTTTTAAAACTAGCGTGATTAGAAATTTTTTAATTTTAACAAATTTTATTCTTAAAATATTACATAATTTTTAAAGAACAAGTTTTCGAGTATATTTCGATATCATAGTTATAAAACTAAAAATATCCTTTTTTCTTGGAATATTTAAAACGGAAAAATTAGGAAATAAGTAATAAAAAGGTTCCTAATTATGCATCTAAATTTATCAGCTACTTTATAATAATTAAAAAACAGTTTTATTGAAAAGGATTCCTCTCTTTATATTCCGGTCTTTTTATTATGTTCTCAATATTGAACCCAACTCAGAGACAGGGTGCAAAGCCGTAAAAACATTGTTAGAACTTTTGAGAGTTTGAACTTTTAGTCATACAATTTCATTGCTGTTGGTCCAGCTAAAAGGATTATTTATGATTTTATTTTATTACAAATTCGTGTTATTAGTTTAACACGATGCAAATATCTTTAATTAGTTTTCCTTGAACACATTTTTAGTAACAAAACTCTTTCAATTGTTTTTCTGATTGGCGCAGGATATTTTTTTTATTATGATTTACCATTATGTAGGCAAATGAATTATGCAAAAGTCATTCTCTTTTTTTACACTCCTCATAAATTTGTTAAAAACTTTTTGAAGTAGAATTAATCGCATGCATGCATTCAAATAAAAATTTTCACTTCTTCATACTCCAATCTTTTTATTACCCCTTTATATTCTACCCAACTCAGAAGACAAGTGAAAATAAATGAAATTATGTTTCTTAATTATGCATCTAAGGTAATCAACTACTTCAGAATAATTTAAGAAACGATTATATTGTAAAGGCTTCCGATCTTTCTAACTAAACTAAATGGGAATCATTCTATCTTGGTCCCGTTTTAAATAGCGTAGCCGTGGAAATCAAGATGTACCACTAATCGTTTGTTTTAAACTAGTTGCTATGATGATAGTAAGAAATCATCATAGCCACTATACATTTTATACTAATGATGATCATTTTATACTAATAATTGATGATCATTTTATACTAATGATGAAGAAATAAAAGTTAATTTATTCCTTATTTGTAGATTATGATATAATATAACCAACATATTGTTAAATTAGATTTTACGTTTTTTTTCCTATGTAGAATGTAAAATAATGCACGTTTTTTTTCTTCTTCCATTTAAGTTCTAAGTGCGATTTCTGGGAAATTTGTTAAGCATTATGATACACACAATTCTTATTAGACAGAGTTGTTGATTTAAATCTTCGTTACTACGCGTTTACCTGAAGTATAAGTACACAAAGGGGAAAAGATAATTGTTTTTCTATTTTAAAATTATTTTATTCTTAGAAATATATATCCTTCTATTTTATCCTTTTAATAGTATTATTATCCATTATAGTATTTTATCCTGTTAAGGGGTCACAGTATCGAAAAAATGACCAGAATATCGATATTTCTTTTATTGCTTATAATATAACTTCAAGCTACTTCAAATGCACTGAAAAAAAAACATCTCTTTCTACATTTTTAAAAAAGTTATGAATGATTTTAGATTACCCTAAAACAGAAACTTGATCAGCAGACAGACTTTAAAGTGCTTTTTCTCAATGGTGATAATTTGTGTTTTAATCTTAATTAAATCCGAAAGGAATTTTTTTCCATTTAAGTAAAAGCTTTGAAGTAAACTTTTTTTTTTAATCTTAAGTAAATACACTTATTTAAACTGTGCATGCAATAAGCATTTTATGAGGTATTAAAATTTTCGAAGGAATTTTTAACCTTTTTTTTCTATTTTTTTACAAAATTGGCGATCGAAATGGGCTGCAGGTGGCGTAGAGCAGAACTCTTTTCCTATGGCAACACTTCACATGCTTTCCCCATTAGCGTGTGGAAAGTCATAGAGGAAGGAAGTACGTTAGTTTCTCTCTTGATTTTCATATAGATT